CGCACGCCTTTAATCCCAGCACTCGGGAGGCAGAGGCAGGCTGATCTCTGTGAGTTCGAGGCCAGCCTGAACCACAGAGCTAGTTCCAGGACAGGAACCAAAAGCTACGGAGAAACCCTGTCTCGAAAATCAAAAAAAAAAAATGATAGAAAAGATGAGAATTAATTCCCAATGTACTAATTTCATCTTTATAGTTGGGGTCAAGTGATGTCACATTTAGCAAATAAACATAGAAATACAGATGGGAGTATAATGACTATTCCAAGGACAAGCACTAAGAAATACAATGTTTAGTTGTTCTTTTGAGACAGGGTTTCTCTGTGTAGCCTTAGCTATCATGGAACTTATTCTGTAGACCAAGCTGGCCTCCAACTCAGAGATCTGCCTGCTTCTGCTTCCCAAGTGCTGGGATTAAAGGCATGGGCCACCACATCCAGGCAAGAAGTAGAATTCTAAAATTTAGATTGATTTGTTTTATTATTTTATGTGTATGAATATTTTGTCTGAGGCATGTTTGTGTGCTACACATGTACCTGGTGCCCTGGGTGTCAAATCCTCTGCAACTGAAGTTACAGATGACTATGAGTCACCAGATGGGTGCTGGGAACTGAACCTGGGTCCTCTGCAAGAGAGAAAAATACTCTCAACTGCTGAGCTAACTCTCCAGCCCAAGAAATGGAATTTAATCAACTAAAACTGAATGCATGAAACGAGAATAGAAAGAAATATATGATACCAATTATTAAAGCAATATTTGTAATAGGAAACAACATAAAGAAAGGAATTCTTAAGCATCTACGAACGTGGTAGCTCAATCCCAGCACTCGGAGGCAGAGGTAGGTCAGTCTCTGTGAGTTTGAGGAAGGCTGGTCTACAGAGTGAGTTCCAGGACAGCCAACAAACCCTGTTTCATAAAAAAAAAAACCCACAAATAATCGAGTCACTAAATAATTAAGATATATATTAATGAAATAAAACACAATTGAGCTATTAAAAATCAAGATGTTTAGCTGCGCAATGGTGGCGCACGCCTTTAATCCCAGGATTCGGAAGACAGTGGCAGGCAGATCTCTGTGAGTTTGAGACCAATCTGGTTTACAAGAGTTCCAGGACAGCTAGAGCTGTGACATAGAGGGACCCTGTCTTGGAAAACAAAAAACAAACAAACAAATCAGTATGCTTGTATCTTGGGGTGAGGAAATGGTGAGGTTATTCACATACTTCTAAGTGTATGTGTTTGGCTGTGTGTGTCTAGAACGTGTATGGACACATACTGTGTCTTTGTATTTTTTTAAGATGTATTTATTATTTTTGGTTTACCTCACTCAGGATAGTGTTTTCTATTTCCATCCATTTGTATGCAAAATTCAAGATGTCCTTGTTTTTTACTGCTGAGTAATACTCTAATATGTATATATTCCATACTTTCTTCATCCATTCTTCCATTGAAGGACATCTAGGTTGTTTCCAGGATCTGGATATTACAAATAATACTGCTATGAACATAGTTGAACAAATGCTTTTGTCGTATGATAGGGCATCTCTTGGGTATATTCCCAAGAGTGGTATTGCTGGGTCCACGGGTAAGTTGATCCCGAATTTCCTGAGAAACCGCCACACTGCTTTCCAGAGTGGTTGCACAAGTTTGCATTCCCACCAGCAATGGATGAGTGTACCCCTTTCTCCACATCCTCTCCAGCAAAGGCTATCATTGGTGTTTTTGATTTTAGCCATTCTGACAGGTGTAAGGTAGTATCTTAAAGTTGTCTTGATTTGCATTTCCCTGATCGCTAAGGAAGTTGAGCATGACCTTAAGTGTCTTTTGGCCATTTGAAGTTCTTCTGTTGAGAATTCTCTGTTCAGTTCAGTGCCCCATTTTTTAATTGGGTTAATTAGCATTTTAAAGTCTAGTTTCCTGAGTTCTCTATGTATTTTGGAGATCAGACCTTTGTCTGTTGCGGGGTTGGTGAAGATCTTCTCCCAGTCAGTAGGTTGCCTTTTTGTCTTGGTGACAGTGTCCTTTGCTTTACAGAAGCTTCTCAGTTTTAGTAGGTGGCAGGGGAGGGCTCCAGGAGAAGCAGGGCCCTGGGGCACCACACACGAAGGTACTCAGGAGCAGCAGCAGCAAGCCCAGGGCTCTTTCTGGAACTGAAGGCAGTCTGCGGCAGGCTCACACAACAGAGGAGACAGCTCAGGCCAAGCAGGGTACAGATCTGTAGACGGGGGCGGCAAGGCAGCGTGGGTGACCTAGTTCAGTGTTTGTGGGGGGAAAAGCCCAGTGACAGACAGGCACATTTTGTGATCCAGAGCTATTTTGGTCTTGCGTTGTCTGTACCCATAAGGAGATATTATGTCACAATTCCATTCGTATTCTTACTGAATCAGAAGCCCCCCCCCCCTTGAAACTGGCCTCCTACTTCGGCTCCACACCAGGACCACTCAAGGGATGAGGGGGCAGACAAGAAAGCTCTGCATGAACACCCAAGCAACGTTTTCAGGAAAGCACTACCAGCAAATGAACAGCAGGGGGCGACATGGGCCAGGACCATGTATGTGATGGAGCAGCTTTGGTCCCAGGTGGCTTTCCTGGGCACAAGGCACAGCTGCTCAAGAGGTGTGCTAGAAGCCTCTGAGGTCCTCCCTGGGTTAGGAGACAGCTGCATGTTCAAGCCTCAAGTGCCTGGGACATGCTTGACCACGGCACGCGATCGGGAACTGAGGGTTCTGTGATGTGCACAGATGTAGGGAGGCGCATGCTAATTTGGGCCAGAAGCTTCAGCAAGGACAGGAGCCTGTGCCCTGCCTCTGTGCCTAGGTTAAGGAGGCCTGGCAGTGAGCTGTCACTGAAGACAGCACTGGCAAGGCAGACTGGACCAGGACAAGAGGATGCAGGTGTGTGCACAAAATCCTCCTTCGATGTACATCATCCAGCCAAAACGTGGAACTCTAGACTCAAAGGGGATGCAGATGGCTGTGGTGGGGATGCCTGCTGGGGGAAGAATCCTCCAGCAGCTGTTGAGAAGCAAGACAGTGTCCCTCAGCCAGCCGAGGCAGTCCAAGGCACGGATTGTGATGGCTGTGTGGTGTGGCACTTATCACAGGCCACTGGCCTCATCCAGTTTCTCAGGACCTTGGAGATGGTCAGTATCCACTCCTGGTTGGACAACTTCCCAGAGTTGGTCCAGGGGCCTGGCAGGCACCCCAGCTTACTGGCCAGCATGGAATGCTGCTGGGAAGAGGATACAAACAGGAGACTTGGAACTCAAATGGCGTGTGGAGGCAGAAGAAGAAATGAAAGCTATGGAGAGACGTGCAGAGAGCAGGCTGAAGGCAGGGCACTCTGCACACAGACCACTGTTGCACAGGGCACAATGACCCAGAACAGCACCCCAGGGTCAACAACCAATACATGACACCTGTCCTGCAGCAGCAGCAGCAGCAGCAGCAGCAGCATGGCGTCACATAGGAAGCTCGTGGATCTCCTGCTTTGCCGTGGCTTTGGGAAGCTGTCTGCTTCCTCCTACATGGCAACCATGCAGGGAAGCTAGGCTTGGTGAGGTAGGAGCTAAGGGGAGTGGGACAGAGGTTTGGAAATGGGCAGTGTGTGTGTGTGTGTGTGTGTGTGAGAGAGAGAGAGAGAGAGAGAGAGAGAGAGAGAGAGAGACAGAGACAGAGAGACAGAGACAGAGACAGAGACAGAGTTGGGCAGGCCCAGATGCATGGCTCAGTGCACAGGGGCCTCCTCTTCCTTGCAGAGCTGTGTGGATCTCAGAGGTGGAGCATGGCTCTGTGGATCTCTGCAGGCAAGTCATGAACAGCACTGACAGCATTTGCCTCACTATCCTTGTGGGGAGTTCCTGGCTGCTCTACCTCTAGGGAAGGCTAGAGAAGAAAGGAGGTCCTCCCCCCAAAGTGGAGCAGCTGCCAACCCTCTCACCCTGCCAGGAAGCAGTGCTTGGGACCCCGAGGAAGGAAGGGGGCAGGAAGTGGTTTTGACAGCATCTTAAGGGGACAGAACAGATAGATATGAACCTAGCAGGGGCCAGTCACATGGCAATCCCTCCTGGGAGAAGCCTCCATCCAATAGGCACAAGTCCACAGGAGGCCAGTCAAGAAGACCTCTTGCGTAACGGCTTCCTTACTCAGGGCCCCGGGGTGACTGCTTCAAGGGTGTTGTCTCCCCTCCATCTGCACACAGGTCTTGAATCTACCCCTGCCCTCACCCCTCCCCTGAGGCCCTCTTGCACCTCCTTCACCCTTTCTGCCCCTGCCTCCTTGAGCACTGGCAAGTGCTCCTGTCAGGGAGCAGGGGCCCAGGCAGCTGGACTCTATGGTGCATTTTGTCTCCCTGCTTGTGCAGACCAAAGTCAAAGATGAGGCCCGTGCCCCCTTTCGATTTTCTTGCCAATCAAAACACACAAGTTTATTGATGATACACACAGGTGGGGGCTTGGGTGGAAGAGGGTCAGTCGGTACAATGGACAGGATGGGGTACATTTCTTTGATTAACATGCTAGCCATCCATCAGCTAGTACAGGAAAGAGGAACGGGGAAATACTTCAACCTTAGCAGCGGCAGCAGATGCAAGTTCGACACGAGCTCCCATGTGGGTGTCATTTCTGCTAAGTAGTCCCGCCTAGACAGGGTGATCACCACAGGCAACAACAGCTCTGGTGATGCTGTGATTTGATTTCTGTTATCTGCAGCTCGCAGCCAACGGTGATCCCTTTACCTTTTACCGCAGAAGGAAGACTGCAAGGGAGCAATTTACAATGCACCTTCCCTGCAGACTACAAAACCCACAAGTTGCCCACAGTTCCGGGGAGCCACTGCCTGGCCAAGAAGAGTGTGGCCCTTCTTTTAGCTATTGGAACTTTTGCCCAAGGAGGAGCTGACCGGCTAAGGCTGCATCCTTGCTTGCACCCACTGCAGCTTCTCTGTCCTCAGTAACCTGCTGGGGCCTTGGGTGGATTCAGTCTCCTTCTGTTGGAGACAACCGCTTATGGGGAGAGGGCTTCCACGAGCATCTCTCTGTTCCCACCTCTCATAAAGGGGAGCATGAAGGAGAACAGCATTTGGGCAGCCAGCACCTCGTCGGCCAACACTGGCTTTTCAGACAAACCCAGCAGTGCTTCCAAACCCTGAACCTTTGCACATACACTGCCCTCGGATATCAAAGGAAACTTCAGGTCTGAAACCGACTTGGCAAGCATGTTGTTAAAAACCGTCATGCTTATTAGCAGATTTAATCCGGCCTGCTGCAGAAATAACTTGCAGCAATGTAACACCATCTCTCGACACACTTCATCGATGGACATCTCAATCTGGCCCTGATTTCCAATACTGGTGTTCGGGTTTTCTGGGACACACAAAGCCTTCTCCCTCACAGTGGTCTGGGGGGTGGGGATCCCGTTTGCAACCACTGAGATGCTGGCCCAGTGCCTACTGACATTGTGGCTAAGGGGAAAGTCAGCATTTGTGGGCTTGGTGAACATCTTTTTTCCTTGAATGGAAGCACACTTGCCCCGGTCCAGAGCACAACTGAAGGATTTAAAGGTTTGAGAACCCCACGTGTTTTTATGTTCGTAAGGGAATGGTCGCGGTTTTATTGGGTGTGCTCTGTTTGCCTTCCCCCCACCTGAATGTCTGTCCTCAGTCCCACCTGGGGCACCAGGTTCATCCCAGTCCCCATCCTTACTCCAGGGCCGAGCCATTGTTGTGAAATCAAACCAAATATTTGCCTCATCTTCATCCCGATCCTGTTCGTCATCACAATCATCTTCCTCCTCGTCCTCCAGTTCATTTCTCGCACCTCTTCCCATGGTCAGTTTGTACATGCAGTAGCAGGCACCAGCCCCTATCATCAGTCCTGCTGCCATCCAACCCATTTCCCGGGCCCGACCCATACTTGAATGGGTGTGAGCCTTTTGGCCAGACAGGAGAGGGCCCTTCTTCACCGGATTGAAGTGAGTTCACAGCGGCTGCGTGAACTATGGTGCAGGTCAGTAATCTTCAGCCTCTCCTAGCTTCTGTGATTCTGGTGGTGACTGTACGGGTGACAGAAATAGCATTAGGACTCTGATCTCTGACTGGGTTCGTACCTGCCAAGACTGATAGGAGTTCACATTCTTGTTGAGAAAGTTGGATTATTAGCTAATGATGTCATTACTCTTCTCTGCCTTCCTATCTCTACCCTCCGATTCTACTTTTAGGCTTCCAGGATTCTCAGAGGTAGACAGGAGAGGAGACTGTGATGTGACAGGAAGGCAGGTGACAGGGACAGCTAACCCTCATGCGGTCGCCTCGAACACCCACCTACTTTGCCCCCTCCTCCTCCCCACCCAAAAACCATTACATGCTTTCTAACCAACCTCAGAAATATACAGTGAATTCCTTTTTCTTCTCGTGTCTTCTGCTTTATTCCCTGCACGGTGATGGATGGACCGAGCCGGGCAAAAGGACATTCGAAAAGCTCTGGAGCCAGCAATGGAGAACTGAAACTGTAGTCGGACAAATCTAACTACACCTATAGGGGCTTTTTCTGAATTTGGGATTTTTGAGTAAAAATAATTTCTCACACCCTCCCGACTTTGCTAACGAGGGCCTCCCCGCCCCCTCCTCGTCCGCCATTTCCCCAGCAAAGGCCGCCACACCCCTTTCCCTGCACCGAAATGGGAGGGGATGTGGAAAAAGAAGGGGCCAGGAGAGGGCGACTAGGACCTGGCCCGCAAAGATCCCAGCCCCCCTCTTCTTCCACCCACTCCTTGGGTTCGGGATGAATCCCACCTTCAAACCTGCAGTAAGATTCCAGTCAAAGCGATCTTCTCCCTCTCTAGCCAAGGCGAGCAGAGACCCAAAGACCTGCAAACGGACAGGGGACCTGGGGTGTGTGGGCGGGAGACACAGAGTGCTTGGTGGACTCACCAGCACCCAGGACACGGTGACCGGATTGTAGATCCTTTCTTTGCTTGAATTTCGTGCAAGTACCGTTCACCCCTCTCACCTCAACCTGAAGCCCGCCACTTCTCCCTATCAAAAGAAGCGAGGGTAGGATGCGGGTCAGGGGATAGGTATTTAAAAAAGTAGGTGAGAAACGGACATAGCCCCTATCTGCGGAACTTGAACGCGAGATGCTCTTTTCCCTCTCCCACCCGCATCACCTTCCAAGCAGCTTCCACCGACCTGTACGGTCCGAGAGAGTTTCCTTCTCCTTCACGCGGCTGCAGAGTAATAGGGGGTTGGTACCCGGTCAGAAGCGACTAACAGGACTTCAGCTCTAGGCGGCTCTGGGTCACGTGATAGCCACGTCACCAGTGAGCTCTAGCCCCCAATTTCCACTCCCACAAGCAGTGGGGCAGGCGCCAGTAGGCTCCGTACCTCCCCCAGTTCTTGGGGCCCTGTTAGTCTTTTTTCAGTAGCAATACCAGAAACCAGAAGTTACCGTTTCTTGTGTTTGAGTTTGACTTTCTCGAATGACTGCGCATTCACACTTTCTTCTTGGGGGAACTGTCTGATTCTTTCGTTGGCTTTCAAACTCCTGCATCCTTTTCTTTAATTTCTACTCCTTCCTATTTTCAGTTTCTGCATCAAAGTTGGGGAGAAGAAGCAGCGAAGGAATCCCAGGTGTGAGTGGAATTTGTATGAACACTTTTGATTCATTTATGTTTTATTTCATCTCTTCTATCTGGTAGACTATTTTGTTATCATAAGACAAAATGAAGCTATCTCCATAAACAAATTCCAAATCTTTTAAATTGTATGTAAACAAAGAAATGACGATTTTTCCAGTTAATAGCTAGATCTCATTGATTTGGCAAAGTTCATTAGTACAACATCGAAAATATTTTCTTCTCAATAGTAGCTTTTAAATAGCGCCTTACAGTTTTCAAGTGTATCCTTTCAAACAAAGCCAGCATGCTTCCAATATGATCGATGGAACATAAATGGATTAGGGGTGAGGATGGTCAGGTTCTGACCATTTTATAAAGGTGTGAGCCATTTATTTGTTCTTTTCTTTATACTGACTGAACTCACGAGTGTCAGAAAATTGAGATCTTGTACAAGGTTCAATAATGACTTCCAGTCCCACCCGAAAGGTAGATTTTATGCAGATACCACCTCAGGTTTCAGATGAACTTTACAAATTAGTAACACCACAGATTGCCTGCTTTTCATTCCAAGGGATTTAAATTCTGTACTGTAGTTTCATGACCCAACCCATGAACCACCCTGAAATTAGGGAACTCTCTGCTGTTCCGTTGATGGGAGCTCTACTTGACAGGTGGAGAGTTCATTATCACCACTACTGAGGTGGTCTCAGTTCTGCCTTTCATGTACTCTATCACCATGTCGATGGTGAGTCTTCAGCATTTGCCAGTGACATCGAGGATGAGGGTCTGTGGATGACTGTAGACGATGACAACACTGATGACATCAACTTCTTTTCCTTCTCATAGGTAGAAGAACAAAATACAGGATCCAAATTTGTCCCCAGGAAAAAGAGACCTTTTCACTCCCTGCATTCCGTAACAATTTTACTGTACCATCCTCACAAACCCTGCAGAACTCAGGGACAAAATATGAAAGTGTGACTCGCCAGGCGCCACCTGTTCACTGCTGGGAGTCATACTCTAAATATAGACCCCCAGGCTGCTTCTTTCTTAGAATATTGAAATTTGACTCGCCAGCCAGAGCCTTCCCTATGAAGGACTGTGCGTGGAGGAAGCCCCTGCAGGAGGCGAGCCAGGGAGTCCATAAATGCCTTGTTGACAAATGCAAGAACTCAGGAATATGCCATTCCTCTCTGGTCTTCCTAACAACTAGATTCATTTACCAACATCATGTTCCCTTTTCTCCAGCTCTCTGCTTCGTTCCTTTTCTCACCATGCTCTTAGGCTGCCTTTCTGTGATTTTCTTAGATAAGTAAATTCTGTCTCTGAAAATGTATGAAAAAAACCATTCAGATTAAACTGTGCTTTTAACTTTGGGCTACTGTGAGCTTGCACAAGAGACTCCTGTTCATTTTGAATATAAACATGAAGAAGAACTAAGAAATATGACGAGCTTATTATAGGCAGGCGATTGGTTCTGCAATGTGAGCTCATTTTCACTTTCTGATAAGTTTCAAGGACAATAGTTCCACGCCTACTTCTCTTTATTGCCACAAAATCCCCCCCCTTTGCATAGGTATATGGTTCAGTCATTTCAGTATAAAACACAGAAGAAAGCACCACCCTTTTCAGCTTACCAGGTCTTCCTTGCTTTAATACACTCTCTATCTAAAACTCCTTAAACCCCAGGAGCATGAAGCTTTTCAGTTCTTTTACATCTTTAGCACTTTAATTCATAGTTATTCCCAACAAAGCACAGGGGCTATGATTTAAAACCACTTCGTTCTCCATTATGTGCACCCACAAGTACTTTATAAGGACATATTAGACATCTGAGATATCATCTTAAAAGTGAAAATGGGAAATGTTTTGGTTCCCAGGCAAGGCTGCTTAATGTTTTCGGAGCATGTGAAAACAAACAAACAAAAGTTTATAACGTCACTTCCCAAGGAAACCTTCTGATAGCCACACATAATATATGACTTGTAAAGTATCCAGAATTAAAGATGAATCAGTGGTTGGTACCACTATGGGTTATGGAGGGAGACAAAGAGAAGGTTGGCATTTGGAAAGTTCTCCTTGGATATTGTGCTACCAGATGTTAGCTTAGTTAAGGTTGTCTCACTGCAAACAGCCTATCCAGGTCTGGTTAACACAGAGGACAAACGCTAAAGAACAAGGTTAGCTTTCAGGGATCTGGGTAGGAGAAACTGAGAGATGATTGCTGCATATAAGTTTCCCTGGTTTCGTGGTTTTTTCTCCTTGCTCAAGATTAAAATTTTAGCAGGAGAGCTTCTGTTTGGTGTGCTTTGGGCACGGTGCCCATCTTTTTGCTAGGGCAATGCAGAGTATGTGAAAGGTGTGATGCACTCATTTCCCTTCTTTAGTATGAGGTCTAAGCTGTTTGAAATGGTGATTTATTTTGAAAATGTTTACTCTACTTTTTATGTGATGTGTGCATTCCTGTTTGTCTGTATGGCACCACATTCAGAGAAGATAAGAAGAAGGGGCAAGATCCCTGGAGCTGAAGTTATAGGCAATTGTGAGCCACCCCTCATGTGGGTGCTAGGAATTGAACTTGGGTCCTCTGCAAGAACAGCAAGTGTTATTGGACACTTAGTCCACATCTCCAATCCTATTTTCCAGTGTCCTTTAATTATTTGGCATAACAAGCCTTTGTTCAGCTGTCACTGAGTTGCTGGGAACCTGCCTACCACCACATGCTTGAGTCGCAATTTCTACATTACCTGATCATTAGAAAGATACAATATGAAATGTCAATACAGAACATTGCCCTTGGAACCAAAGCCACCTGGCTTCCCTGACAGCATTCCATAGGGTTGCATATATAGTTCAGGGTGTGGTCTTGAGTGTTGCACCATCTACCCCAGCTTTTGTCTTTAAGCAGAGAACAGATGCTTTTGCCAATGATAGACTCTACTTCAAAGGCACACATATAAACCGAGATCTGGATGTCACACTCATCAGCCTCTGTATTCTCCTCCTGTGAAATAGGCTACAGTGAAAGTTATGTTTCAACAGGAGTAACAACGGAATACTTTCCCTTAAGAAGTTCAAGTGTCAGGGGGCAGAAGGGGTTACTGCCTGTCTTACCTGTTCATTCTCTCCCTGCATATAAGCTCTGGCTTGGGAAGTCACATCTTCAGAAGATAGCTTGACGAACCTAGAATCAGAGCCAGCACATCCGTTCATCTGAAAGAGAAACTTTTAGCTTAGGAAGTTTGCAGTATTCTTACACATTGTGGGAATGATTTTGCCAAGGAAGAAATGTTCCCTTCACCTTAGCCAGAACTGCCTTTCTTCTAGACAGTGCTTTAGTAACATTTTCCTCTGAAGCCTTTTTTGTGTATGACTAAGTCTCTTTGTTGCACTTGGCCTTTCTCTGAATACAGAGCCATGCAGTTGATTTGGTTCAGTTTACTAAATCTAAAATCACATCTCAGTTCTGCTTTCTAGAAGCTACAGTGATAAAATTTTTCCTGGAGATTAGCTTGTTCTTAAACTCTTTGTATTCTTAATTTTCTCTCATGTTTTTTCCTGTGGATTTTGAAACCTCTCCTCAGATACCAACCTTGTATCGAAACTACAAGGATATTGCTCACCGAAGAGCTTAGGTTTATTGTGTTGTGTGTTTTTGTACTATGTATTAAGTTCGCCTTGCTGGGCAGCCAGCGACTGATACCAAACCTGGTTAAATTAGACAATGAGAAGATGTAATTGCTTCATTCCCTTTTTTTTTGTCTTTGAAAGTGAAAATGGCAAGTGAATTGTGCCCACCAAGCTGATCAGTGCAATGGTTTCACACTAATTGCTAGATGACAGGTTCGGTCATGTTTGCTTTGGTCTTTGTATTCCTGCAACACACTGTTTCATTTGTAGATGCTGTTCTCTGTTTGTATCCCAGGATTTCAGAGTGTTCTTTTTACAGCAATTGCACCTCAGTCTGTGCACCTTTTCATCTAACAGACTTGATTTCTCCTCGATCTTTCCTGTTCCTGGCTTTGGAGAGCCCCAGCCTCGTCCTGGTTAACTTGTGCCCTTCAAAACCTGTTGCTCAGTCAGAAGATTTGCATATTCTCAGGTAGGCTGATTAGTTCAGTCAAGTTGGGCACTGTTCATTCAGCTGCATTCTGTGATAGGCCCCAGAAGACATTAAAATTCCTTTGAGTAAAGCGAGTCACACTTCCCAAGAAGTGAGCCATGTAGGACTTTTAGAGACCATCATCCAACACTGATCTGCTACCTCTCGTCTTATTCTTCCTTGACGGAAGTATTTTTATTGTACTTTTCCCTCCTAAATAGAATGCAGACTGTGAGCAGGGGAAGCCAAGGTGAAAATAACTAAAAAAGTATTAAGAAAGTAAAAGATACATTCTCATTCCAGGTTCCCTATTCTGGTGACTTATTCGTTTCAGGTCTAGGACTATATTTCAGAGGAAATGGTAGATATTTATGGCTGGGAGGAGGGGAGGTAGAGGGAGAAACTGCTGTCCCAGGAAGGAAGACTCAATTAAAAAAAAAAAGTACAAGTGGCCAGTAGCCCCAGGGGAGGATGCTGTCCTGTTTTGGTAATTGAAGAAAGGGAAACACAGCTAGAGAAAAATGGGATTAGTCGCAAAAAAGAAAAAGTAACAAGGCCTGGTATGGGGGAGGGAATGAAGGGGGGCGGGTCCTCTTCTGCCGCACTGCTGGTGGGAGGAGAAAGTGGGGATCCGAGTTGGTGGATGACGTCGCTCTCACGTGACTAAGAGCTGACGTGTGCAGAAGTCCTTCTTGTCCTGGTCGTTGTTCCCGTCTGAGTACCAGCTCCCTATTACCCCGAGGGCGGGCCGGCCTGCAGCCGAGGAAAGGAGGCGGAAAAGAAATTGTCCGGGATCCCTGCAGGTCAGTGCCTGGGATATTCCATAAAGTAGGGGCGGTGGAGGGTGGAGGGCGGAGGCCGTCGCAGGTCCGGGGGCGCCGCCGTCGTCTCTCCCACTTGCCGCCCTCTTTCCAAGATATATGTCCCGCACGCAGCCCATTTCGTTGCTGCAAAACAGTGAGTAGGGGGTGTTTGGGCAGGCGCCCAGAAATCCGGAGATGGGAATCTGCTGCGGGCGGAGGCCAGCAATCCGGAAAGGGAGCAGTGGCCTGGGTGTTGGCCCCTGGTCCACCAGACTGTGCCGGCGGGGAAAAACTGGACATGGGGTCCGGCGTGGGGTGCAAAGTGATGTGCCAGCCAAACCCTGAGCTGGGTATCGGGCGGGAAACCTTTAACAACCAGACCTCCGAATTAGGAAAGAGTTTCGCTCTCTGGGGACTGGTCCGTCCACCAAGCACTCTGTAGCGGCTGTTTCCCGTCTTTTTGTCCGTGGCTGCGTCTTCTTTACCATAGCTCTGTGTCTAGTGGGTCCAAGCCTCTCCCGGGTGGCCAGTCTTTCCGTAGGTTGTGGTACCACGCCAGGCAAGAGAAGAGGAAGGAAATTAACCAGATCGGTGAAGGTCGATTTGAGGGTAAGACCATCTGGGGACCCTAGGAGCGGCGGGGGTAGAAAAGGGAAAACCAGAAAAGGTAATCTAGGTTTAGATTTGAGTCTAAATGTGTTTCTCACACTCCCTGAACTGTGGAGAAATGGCGTGCGCTGTGTGTGTGTGTGTGTGTGAGTGGGGGTGGGGGGCGAGGGGCGGGGGACGGGGGGAGGGGGGAGGGAGCGGGGGGCGGGATAACGGCAGGAAAACCTATCAGATAGTTTGTTCATAATCCTTCTATTTCAACAGTACTTCGTGTCCATGTTTTCGATCTGTCATCCTGCAGGTCTGCTGTAGCAGGTGGCACTGCTTGAAGCAAGGGAGGAACTCCCCCCCCATCAGTGGAGGTCGGTGTGGGCGTGGGGGTAGCCTGGAATGGAGGAGGGGTTCGAAATCAGTCAGTCCGGGTTTAGTCAGGCTCACTCAGTCCTACTTTATTTCCTTACACCCACCCATTTCAGACGAGGGAGGGGGCTAAGTCTGTGCGTGTTTTGGATGGATGGCACAATGGGGTTTTAACAAAAATCTGACAACCTGGATGGTAAATTAGGCAAGCATAAAATATACAGTGCCTGCAACAAGCCCTCGTTATTCACTGTTTCTGGTATCTCTGCAGAGCAGAAAGATTGTTGGGTGTGGCAACACCTCACAGTAAAGGAAGAAGGGGCAAGCTGCTTGTTCCCAGGAGGTTAGTATAAGGGTGCTTATCCCATGGGGGCTACCACAGGCACCTCTGACAGATGAGAGCCCAGCAAAATTTGTGGATGCAAATTGACTTTGTGCTTAGAGGCAAGAGTGACTGGGGGTGGGGTAAGGAGGGAGAGGAATGTAGGGAAAGACTGAAATGAGGAGATAAAGCTTTTTGTCAACAATCTGTATTCGCTATCCAGAATTCAATTCCTACTTTCTTGCCCCTCCATGCAATTGTCTGCATGGGGCAGCACAAAGAGAAGAGAAAGGCAAACCCTCTTTTCTCTTCCCTTTATAGGTTTACCTCCAGAACTAGTTACTGCAGCTTCAAAGTGACTGAAGAAGATCGTTCTCCATAGGCCTGCGCTCAGGCCCGAAGCCCTCTTCCCCTATTTTGAGTGGCCACTCTATTTCCTGGTCCCTGCCGTTGTCAGGGACGATTGCATGGGCTACGCCAGGAAAGTAGGCTGGGTGACTGCAGGCCTGGTGATTGGGGCTGGAGCCTGCTACTGCATCTACAGATTGGCCAGAGGAAGAAAGCAGAACAAGGAGAAAATGGCCGAGGGTGGCCCTGCTGATGTGGATGATGCCGGGGACTGTCCTGGGGCCAGGTATAATGACTGGTCAGATGATGATGATGATGACAGGAATGAGAGCAAGAGTATAGTTTGGTACCCACCTTGGGCCCGGATTGGCACTGAAGCAGGGACCAGAGCTAGAGCCAGGGCAAGAGCCAGGGCTACGAGGGCTCGGAGAGCTGTCCAGAAAAGGGCTTCTCCTAACTCAGATGATACTGTTTTGTCCCCTCAAGAGTTACAAAAAGTACTTTGTTTGGTTGAGATGTCTGAAAAGCCTTATATTCTTGAAGCAGCTTTAATTGCTCTAGGTAATAATGCTGCTTATGCATTTAACAGAGATATTATTTGGGATTTGGGTGGTCTCCCAATTGTTGCAAAGATTCTCAACACGCAGGATCCCATCGTGAAGGAAAAGGCTTTAATTGTCCTAAATAACTTGAGCGTGAACGCTGAAAATCAGCGTAGACTTAAGGTGTACATGAATCAAGTGTGCGATGACACAATCACTTCTCGATTGAACTCATCCGTGCAGCTGGCTGGACTCAGATTGCTTACGAACATGACTGTTACTAATGAGTATCAGCACATACTTGCTAATTCCATTTCAGACTTCTTTTGCTTATTTTCAGCAGGAAATGAAGAAACCAAACTTCAGGTTTTGAAACTCCTTTTGAATCTGCCTGAAAACCCAGCCATGACTAGAGAATTGCTCAGGGCTCAAGTGCCAGCTTCGCTGGGCTCCCTCTTTAGTAAGAAGGAGAACAAAGAGGTTATTCTTAAACTTCTGATCATTTTTGAGAACATCAATGACAATTTTAAATGGGAAGAAAATGAGCCTGCTCAGACTCACTTTAGTGAGAATTCACTTTTTTTCTTTTTAAAAGAATTTCAAGTGTGTGCCGATAAGGTTCTGGGAATAGAAAGCCACCAAGATTTTCTAGTGAAAGTAAAAGTTGGAAAGTTTGCAGCCAAACTGACTGAGCGTATGTTCCCAAAAAGCCAGGAATAACTTGGTGGCTTTGTAGTATAGCAGCATCACACCTTGTAAACTATTCTTTTTCTCCACCTTGTTTATATGGCAAAGGAATCCTTTCAGCTGCCAGTTTTGAATAATGAATATCATACTGTATCATTGATACTGATATTTAACCGAGTTTGTCTTCAGGTTTAAGTTGGATGAATGAATACTACTTGCCCTGAAAACATGTTTGTTGCTTTTTATCTCGCTGCCTAGATTGAGATATTTTTACTGTTTTCTCTACATAAGTGACAGTGAACCAATTCATCCTAAGTAGGCTCCTTTCTGTCATTTGCATTGATTTTATTTGTGTATCATCAATAAAGATTTATGTTAATGCTGGAAAGAAAAAAACAGAAGAAGAAAGAAACTATCCTGTTGTTTGGTTTATAATCTAGTTGTAGAGATAAGAAACACACAAATAAACAAATAAACAAAAAACCAAAAAAACAAACCCTGAGAACATTTGAAACATACAGTCTGTCAGATGTGTGACTTCAGAACAGAGACGAGGCAAAGGCTTTGGTGGCTGGCCACATGAAGCAGTTAAAGCTTTAGGCTTGTTGAATGTATTTTAACTAGGAAAGAATTGGGGTCAATATAAATGTCCTCCCCACACCGTGTCTGTCATCAAGGATGGTGTAGCAAAATGCATCCTTTCCAACTCTGGTGGTGGGCATTTGGCAATACATATCATTAAGCCTTAAAATATGTAACCCTTTTGTCCTAAGGAGATAGAAGGATAAGTGGCCAGAGATTGTATGTGCAAGGCTGTTCTTGTCGGCACTGTCTTAAGGTAGTGACATTGGGAACAACTCCAGTGTTCCACACACTGAACTGATGAAGTAGGTTAAAGAATGTCCATGCTGTGTGATAAATGTGCTGATGGAACTCAGTATTGCTAGAAAAAGACACTCATTATACATTGTTAAGTGAGCAAGGTAAGTTAGATAGCAGTATTCAGAGTATGATTACATATTGGGGGGAGGGTTAAATCATGTTTAAAAAGACACTAAAATTTATGGAATTATATACACCCAGTAGTACTAAGAGTTATATTTGGATGACAGATAATGAGTGATACTTACTTTTTGTACTTATTATTCATCTATGTTTTTTATTTATCAAAAATTAATACTGATTTTTAAGAAAGGCTTGGAAAAAGAAAAGTATGGGGGAATGTAGCGGGTGACTAATTTGAATGCGTACTGAGAGGAAAATATCTAGGCCCCAAATGAGGTGGTCTGACGGTTCCACCTCAGAATGAGAGGTGATGGTGAAGATAAGGCTGACTATCAGATTTGAGTGAGAGAACTTATGCAAAGTAGCTACACTATTCTTGCATATAGCAGCAGTTAATCGAGAAATGTGAGTACCTTTAAGTACTACCCAGAATGTAGTGTTGATGGGTCTTGGTTAACTTTCATTTTGCTGGGGCATCCTTCTATGTTTCAGTGTCATTTAATAAATAATAATGATAATAATAAAGGTTAACATTTATTAAGTGATTACTGTGTAGAGTTCTGTCATTCTTGCAAGGAACCTGTAGAAATAGTTCCTCCAAGTGTTCCAGGGCTAATAGGGCCACCTCAGTCATGATCTCTCCTGCCTTCATGACATGTTCCTCGTTGGTGTGAGGATGCTCTCCTGCTTTGAATGTCACCAGGAAATGGTGCAGTCTTCTGTCTAGCTGTGATTTAGGTTGGGCTTCAGGTTTTCACATATGTCCTCCGATGTCTGTAGGAGGACAAGGGACTGGTTGGCTTCAAGTTGTTGGATATGGTCACCATACAAAGTCATTCATGTATACGAACTCATCTGATAGTTCTTTAGAGGATGAGATGATAGAAAATGAAGTTAAAATTATTCTTGCCCGTGCTAAGTAGCATAAAAAGGATTGTAATGGCCAGGGCGGGAGCAGATCCATTTAAAATAAATGGAATTTGAAGTGTTTGTGTGATATTTAGATACCGCATTATCGTTTGAATAAATTAGTCCTGCTTTCAGTGAAGATGCCTAGGCTGCAAATAAGAACCAGAGAGAGCTGTCAGAAGTTAGATGAAAACTGAGGACAGGGGCCTGGATGCAGTCTATGGAGGACCACCTAAAAGAACTAGATAAGAAACTGGCAGCTGGGGAGAGAGGCACAGAATTTAGTCAGCCTGGTTTATATTTTCTTATTAACCCCTCCTACACAAATAACTGTCCCTTGAGATGCTTGAGAAAATAGAGGCGAGGAGCAGAAAGATGTCCCTCAACTCAATAATGTTGCATGAACACATACACAGGCGCTCAGATCAAGCCATGCCGAACTTGAGACCCAGAGTGTCTTGCTTATTACCGGGCAAACAAAATAATGAGAAGCCCTGGTATTGTAGGCACACTCCTGCCTGGCATCCTCTGCTGCTTTTCTCCCTGTTACTTTCGCTCCCAGCCCCTTCCCTGCCTCCCTCCTTCTCTCCTTTTCTCACACTTCTTTCTCTACTTCCGCCTGGGAGTTAATTGATGGTAGTCAGTCTGTTCTGTTCTGCCTTTCAGGGGTGCCTTTAATTTTGATGACACAGTGCATCCACTTAAGGCATTTTATATACATAATAATTGTCATTGCAGTGACCATAAAATAACTCTGATTTTTTTGAACCCTTCTTGAACAGAACGGCCACAGAAGGAAATATTCTCGGCTTGTTGTTACCCTGTGTGCTCCGCATTCATTTTTTATGCCCCTGTGCCTGGTACATTTTTGGTTGAGTAACACACTCTTTGGGCAAGTGCTGGGTGAGCCTAGTGTGGGTCGTGGCCAGGCCACTTCCTGACTCCCCAGAGTTTCCCTGGAAGGTTGCAGCTCTCAGTCATTTTAGAAAGAGCAGGATCCTGGCCTGTGACTGCCCCTGGAGCTCATGGGGCAGGTCAGGGAGAAGTCATTTTCTTCTCTTTTAGGGATGATGTTAAGAGACTCAGGGGATAGCCTGCTATTTTGATTTTCTCATCAAACACTTTTAGGATCTGTGTCCATCTAAATGTGCACTCAAGGATAATTTTCTAAGAATGGGGCTCATTTGGTTAAATCGTCCCCACTCCCCATGAAGCTGAACTTTTCAAGACTCAGGGAACAGGCTTTCTTTCTTTAATTCATACGTCATCGGCCTTGTTTCTAAAGAAACTCCAGCGTGGGGGTAGACAATTGATGCAGGTGATATACATTTCATGTTCTTGACTCTCTGGTTTTGCTAGGTTCTCTGGAGAGTGGCTTTGAACATAGCGAAAACATAAGATTATTTTTTCATGCTGGCTGCTTACAATTACACTTACCCCACATCCCAGACTGAAGTTTGTCCCTGGTTTGTCTGTTTAAGTTGTGGCTCTTCCTTGCTTTTGAGCCAGAACAGTCTCAGCTTTATTGTTAGGTCTCCTGTGTGCTCAGGCTGAGGGCGAGGTGGGGGCAGGGAAGGGGTATTTACAACCGACAGTGCCTCACCCTCTCCAATGGGGCCTTGTCAGGTTTGTGTTGAGAGTTGGGCCATGTTGGTGCTTGAAGAGGGGTGTGGGAGCATTGGGAGGGAAGGCCAGGGATGGAAGCCCTGGTGGAGGGCTAACTCTGTCTGCATAAGTTCCTGCAACTGTAATTTGATCCCCTATTGAGAGGGGGCCGACCAGACCATTACCATCCTGGAAGGTGAAAGAGGAGCTCTAATAAAGGCAGCTTTGTTTGAGCTTGTGGCCTCCTTATTTACTCATTTACTCATTACTCATTACTGAGCTTGCAGAGGGTATAGCTTGTTGTCAAATAAAATGGGACTTCCTTTTCAAAATAAAACACAGATAATTTATTACTGTGAGAAATAGACTCAAACATATCAGATCCATAGAATCTGCTGTTCTGAACGTTCTTTCCCTAAGAGAATAAGATCTAGATCAGAACTGAAATGATCACAGGGATGTATGGTTTATTTAGCACTCAGGGAAGTTACCCAACTTAGATAAATGCTGGTGCTGTCTAGGTGAGACAGCTTGGTGCATCATGTTTGCCATAGACATTGCCGTGCTCTTAAAACCTAGTACCTGTAACCAAAAGCTCAAAAGCACAATTCTCCTCAAACATAATTATAACCTTTGCCTGCCTACGTGCTTCTGGAGTAGAGGAAAAACTTTAGTGCACGTTAGTTTTATGGCAAAATAAATGGAAAGCACTGGCTGTTGGAAATTGAGAGATACATACTCTCTTTAGCTAGGTCGAACCATTTGTTGCTTCCCCCCATTTGGAAGCTATCCCGTGCCAACAACTTCTGATACCAGGAAAACTAGTCCACAGGGAGGACGCTTTCAGATCAGTTTCAGCACAGGGGCCTCGGGGCTCTGTGTCTGATATGTATAGTGTGGCAACCGAAGGCAAAAGCAATGGCTTCTAATGTTTGGGGGAGGCTGTTGGACAGCACTGCCCAACAACTCCAAAGGGCTTTTGAAGCCTGATGTTGAGGTTTTGGTTAGGTGGTCTTTGGCTCATGGTAGGTGGCATTGTCAGTCTAGATGGAAAATTTCATTTAAACGATGCATGTATTTGTATACATAGACTAAGTATTATAGATATTGTTAGGTAGTTAATACTGTGAGTCCTTATGATATTTTCCGGCATTCTTATTATTACTTTTGCCCACCTTCCTCCTTCCTCTGTATCTCTTTGCCTCTCGCTCCCTATTCAAGTCCACTGTTTTTTCCTCTTTCCCCTTCAGGTCACATGTACCTTGCTATTCTCCTCCCTATTACTTCCCCTCTTTCTCCCCCAAATGGTCTTTTTTTACTTTCCTGGTTTCTGCAGTTATTCCTGGTTACACACTCACTTCTGAAGATTTGGAGCTAGGAGCCTCAAATGAGAGAACACACACTGTTGTCTTTCTGGGTCTGGGTCCCTTCAATCACTCCTCTCTCGTCTAGTTCCATTCGCCTGCAGATCTTCATTTTTCTGATGCAGTATCAATGTGATACTGCATATGTAGCACATTTTCACTGTG